TTTTTGCCTGCTGGGGATAGCTAGCACTCAATTCCCCAGTGGTGTGTCCGGTCCTGTGCCACCCGCCCAGGCAGGTCCCAGTCCCGGTGGGAGCTGTGCCTGTGCCAGGACTGCAGGAGAGGGCCCTGTGCCTACACAGGGGACAGCCATGGACGCCCACGCGTGTCTGCGTGCCAGGATACACACAGACATATAGCCCATATGTAAAAGAGAGACATGACCTGTGGTCATGCTTTCACAGTCTAAGGTAAAAAAATTAAAAAAAAAAAAGAAGAAGAAGAAGAAAAAAAAAAATCCACTTGAGAGTATATATACATTAAAAACCAACTCCTCAGTGCTAGAAGCTAAAGCCACTCCAATTTGAAGACCTCTCAATGACAACGATAGATGGCAACTACGGAGTATTATAAAAAATCACACATACTTAAAGAAAACTCATTGCAAACAACTGACCTATATTTACAATACTGCTATTACCTTGCTTGAATGATCTTGTGCGCGTATGTCAGACATTTACAAAAGATTTTTCGCCCCATTCTGATCATAAAATAGATACTGATCTCCAGATTTCTAATACTTTTTCACAACAATACCTTTCCTACGCAGGCACTTAAGTGTGACAAAAATAAGGGCCTTTTTTTTTTTTTTTTTTTCCCCAGAAAATCCATTTTTAATTAACAGGAGGATTAGATGAATGGGGGTTGATGGTTTACCATTTCAGCATAGTACTTCCTAAAACCAGAGATAAACCACGAACTTAAGTCCTCCACCCCCATCCCGGAATTAAACAGGTAAATACACTACAATACATCTGCTACAAACTTACTGTGACAAGTAAACAAATCAATCGCCTATGGACTTAAATGACTGCAAACTATAGAGAAGTAATGTGGTTTCTGAAAGACATTTATGACAGCCAAACAAGTTTCAGATATCAAATAATATTTTAATTTCTGAATACTTTCAATTTTCCTTGGAATATAACACACAAAGACTCGACCAAACAGTTCAGTTATTATAACTTTTACAGTATACAGAAATGTTGCACTTAAAAAAAAAAAAAAACCTTCAGTTTTTTTAAACACAAAACTGTAAACTCTAAGATACTGAATCAATCACGTTATCTATAAGTGCCAACAGTGTTATTTTGTCATGCTGATTTCAATGGTATTTTTTAAAAAGGGAAAATATCAACAATTATTATAATACAAAGGGCTTGCAAATATACAAACAGATAGAGGAGTTTAATAACAATTCATGATGAACTATGTGGAACCCAATTCAAATTACAAAAGTTCACTTTGCTTGTTTGCTTGTTTTTTGTTTTTTTGTTTTTTAAATCAAAACCGTAGTGTGTCTTGGACACAAAATCCTTCTACCTATAATAAATCCCCACAGTTCATTTTCTGTCCGAAATATCAAAAAACCTAGATTTGGGGGGAGTTATATGACACGTGTGGTTCATTCGGGTCTATATAATTATAGCTCTCTCAGCTTCAAGCTAGATTTTGGGTCACCACCTTAAGTGCGCTTCCATCATTGTGTTGTTGAGGGTTTTTTTTTTTTCTCTTTTCCTTTCTTCCTATGATACTTTCGTGGACTCAGTTTTAATTCTTTCAGAACATATATTTTAAGGATACACAGTTTATTTTTTTTTTTTTAAAGAAGCCAAGGTTATATCAAAAATTATTATAGAACCACAGAATAAACTGGTTTGAAACCAGAAAAATACAAAAAAGAACAGCTATAGGTACATAGACACATAGGACAATTAATAATTTGGAAAAAAAAGACTTACTTTCTTCCGTTCTGCTAATTTTCTCCAAATTTCCTTTAAATGCACTTTAAGCGAGATTTTTTAAAAAGTTTACCCCAAAAAAAAGAAAAAAAAAGAAGAAAAAAGAAAAAAAGAAAAAGCCCACCATCGTTTCTTTTCTTCTTCTTTCTTTTTTTCTTTCCCTCTTTTTTATTTTTTACAAAAAAAATGATAAGTAGCAAGTTTTTTTCTGAACGACACGGGAGTTTTTAATGCATTCTGTAAAAGTTCATTTGACAGTCTCTTTTTTTTAATTCACAGTCCATTAATTTTTTCCTGTCTTCTCTTAGCAAACTTGTAACATCCTTTTACATCCTTTCTTAGCAGAAGGAAATTTAAGAAACAACCAGAACCCAAATGTCATTTGCTTTCCTTTCACTCTCATCTCCCTTCTCAAATTTTAATTTTTTTTTTTTTTTTGAGATTTTTTTTTTTTGTCTTTTTCTCTCTCGAATGTTTTATTGAATGGACATGTAAGGCCAGTTAAAACTGCTGCCAGACAGTAACATATCCCTGATTAGGGTTTCTATGGGGGTTTTACCTACCAAACGGACGAAAAACAATTGCTCTATGACAGAAGAGGAGACAGTGCGAAGGGAGGGGAGACGTAGTAATAGCTTCCCGAATCGTGTTGGCTGGTTGGGATACTGGCTCCTAACATACTCTTCCAAAGCACACTGTGACTTCTCCTGTAAACTTTCAACATGGGCTACATCAGAGAGACCACAGGCATCTAGAAGAAAGTGTATTAAAAA